AAAATAAAGTGTTTTTTGCGCGACTTATATCACATCACACCCAGTGACTTTGTTCCGTTATCCCCTTCATAAGAAATTATGCTTTTCATAAATTATAACGTACATTCATGACTTGCATAATAATAATTTAGATAGCAACAGATTAAGTTTAATTAGAATAATAGCATCTGAGTATGTAAAGTTAGGCTTTATCATGAAGGAGAACGCTTAATACGTTTATTATATTTAAAGAAAAAAATATTCACAAACATCTTACAAAAACTGTTTTGTTGTCCGGTCAATAATTTAATATAATACTGCACATAAATAAAAATATACAGAAACGTATGTACTCGTATTATTGAAAAAATAACTCGCATAAATTTCCAACTACGTGCATATTTTCTGCCAAACCGTTTCTGACGACATTAAGAACAAAAAACCAACATATGTATTTTATTTTGACTTCAAATTAGCCAGCTATTTAGAAAATACATAGTATGATGTAGTAATATGTATACGAGTATACCCCTTGACATTACAAAAAATCAAGGCCTGACCATAAAATTCTATAATGTACAAAACATGTATTAATATTTTTGTATTTGTGTCTATTACAATAAAACTTTAAAAAATACACCAAATCTTATTAATTTATTAAGTGATTTTTTTAAATAAGCTTTAGTATTATTTTTTGCAAAATCCACCTTTGTTTCATACCCAATATTTCGACCAAAAAAATTTATTATACGATAAATTTTATTATATAATAAATTTTATAAAATTTTATAAAATTTATTATATTTAAATTTAATATATTTAATTTTGTATAATTTATTATAAAATTCGATTTATTTATATAAATTGTAAATCTTCATTTTATTTAATAACACAAAAAATTAATATAATTATTCAGTAAATTTAAATTAAAATTAAATTTTAAACAGCAAATAAATTATTTTACCGCTCAGTGACAAAGCCTTCCCATGCGAAATTTACATATGGACTAAAGAAATGCTATAGTCTCATTTTTCGTAAAACCTTGTTCAATAGACACAAATACAAAAATATTAACATGCCTTGTACTGCACAAATCTCTATATAAGTGTATTGAAAATTGATCATCGTACTTTTTGTTGAGAAATATATTTTTATATTAGGTATTTTCGAATAAATTGGAAATGTTCATGGTGATTTTGGATGTTTGAAAATAAAAAACGATTAAGTACAAAAAATATGCAGAAATTATTTTATTTCGTTTAAATATTAACAAAATTAAATTTTTTGTTCTTACAAACTAGTTACTTATTCCAGGTAACAAATTACATTATAATAAATTATAGGTAACAAAATATTTTTCAGTTAAAACCAAAATAATAAATACATAACAAAATTGTTTTTGAAAAAACTACATGACATATTTACTTAAAAAAATAAAACTTTCAATCAATATTTCTTGAAACTAGTAAAAGTTGAGGAGAAAAACAATTCATTTTATGACATAAATTTACCTATGTATTCAACTAAATTCACAAAATTTTTTAATTTTCTGTTATAAGAGATTAAATTACATACTTATGTAAATTGTTAAAATCTTAACTTTAGTTGGTACTTGATTAAATTAGGGTAACATAATAAAATTTAAAGTTCTTACAAATTAAAAACACTTCGGTGGTGTAGAACTCCTTTTTCCTAATGCTTGTGTCCATTTGTCCCTGATGACTTCGTTCTTTGGCAAAGTAAATGTACGTATAGCATTTACGTTCTCCTTTCTTTTCTCGTAGACTATTGCTTCTGCATCCTTCGACGCCACAATTTCGGGGCATTTCTATTTATATGAATGTAATCAAATATACTATTATATTTTATTTAAATATGATTACAATAGAAACATTAAAAAGTACTCCGAATCTTACTAATTTATTAAGTCATTTTTTTCTTTTTAAATAAACTAGTACAATTTTTTCAAAATCCACCTTCTTTTTTACTAAATATTACAAACAAAATATAGAATTTAATTAATATAACTTATTAATCTTTATTTTATTTAAAAACACAAATAATAAGTATAATTTTTCACTAAATTTAAATTAAATTTTAAACTGCAAATAAATTATTTTACCGCTTAGCGACACAGCCTTCCCGTACGAAATTTATATATGGACTAAAGAAATGAATAGTTTTTTTTCTGAACAAAAAACTTTGGATACACACATATGCAAAAATATTAAGACGTCTTGTACATTATAGGAGTCTATGCTTGTACATTATAGGACTTTATGATTGTATGCAATGATGGTGAGTGAACATGTATGCAATACCTTTAGCCTTAGTAATTTACAGTAAATATGCATGTGTACATTAGATAAATAATAGAAATCATGTCGGTTTATATATTACTAGTGTCTTTACATCTAACAAGTCCCAATGCTCAGAGAGAAACTTGAAAGCACACCTTATTTTATATGGCCTTTTTTAAATCGAAGTGGCTATTTTTTGAGAAGAAATATTAAAATAAATTCACACTTATTATAAAGCAGGTAAAATTTAGAACATATATTTGAAAAATCAAAAAAATACATTAATATTTTCATTGATAATTATTTTAAAATTTAAAAAAAAGCGGAAAAACAACAAACACAACCTTCGCCTTCAACGTTTTATATGTTACTGAAAGCATTTCATTATTTTTAAGTGAACAGCTTTTTTTTCTCATAGGGTAAGTTAACGCAAGATATGGGAAGTACCTGTGGTGTCAAGTTGAAAATATAATTAATGAAAGATAATTCTTAAATATTGATATAAATAGATAGTAAAGAAAAAATTTGAAGAGGGAATTAGAAAATAATATCTAAAATACAATCAAATATTATTTGTTAAATACAAATTTTATATAAACTTCAAAATTTTACCTCTATTTTTATTTGAAAAAATATTAAAAACTTACTATCATTTATAACAATTACCTAAGAAAAAAAAATATTTAAAATGTTTGGAAAAAACAATCATATATTTTTATGACCGGATTTGAATATTTTTCTATTTTTGAAATAAATGGTATTTTACCAAATGACTCGAAAATTCCGACTGTAAAATAACAGGTATTTTAAAATTTTTGTTCAGGTATTTTAAAATTCTTTCCGTTTAAAATTAAGATAGGTCATACATACACATGCAGGGACATTTTATAAATAGATTGCTCTTGTTTACCTGCTAATAAAATATGAAAAAAGAGCACAGCAAAATTTTTGAAGCACTCAATATAACATGTTTGAAATAGTCTTAAAATAATTATTTAAAAAAAAATTTATTGGAAGTAGGTACATACATATTTATTTTTAATAATTTAAAAACTAACTGAAATTATTTGAAACAATTTTATAAGTAACGTATGAATAATCGAAATGAGATAATTCAAATTGTTGAAATGTGTCAACCTATATTACTTTTAATAACATTTTTGTTAGCCGACACTACTCAACTTACCTTATTGGGAAATACAAAATGTGCATAAAAAATCATACATCCTTCCTCATTAACATTTGAAACCATACTGAAATATGAATTTGAAATTATTTTTCATTTTTTCTTTCCTCCTACCTTTCTTTCTTTTTCGTGCAATAGAATTTAAATGGGAAGCTTTTTAAAAAATGTGTATAATATTCTGAGATTTTTTAAAATATTAATCTCTTTTTTACGTAAAAAAAAAGAAAAAAATAATAAAAAATATGACACGATCAGTGGCATTTAAAGAAAAAACCAACAACGAGGCCAAAAATTCGTAACATTTCGTAAAAAAAATTGAGTATTGGGACTTGTTAGATATAAAGACATTAATATTACCGTTTCTGATTATATTCTATTAATGATGTTAAACTCCAAATATATGAGAGAATACATTAATTGAAATGAAGGTTGTAAATTAGTGTGAAGTTAGAAAAATCGATAAAATCTGATTTTTTTCTCAATTTAAAGAAAGTTTATTAACTGTTATCAATTGTAATGTATAATTCCTATGCACATATGAAAAAAGCTTTTGCGTACACTTGACAATTTATTAAGTCAAAAGCCAAGTATATCTGCTTTATAAGTAATTCGACTTATTCCAAGTCGTTAGTTTTCGTTTGCTTTGCAAGTTGCCACTTCCAATATTCTCAAAATATGAAATAGATTCTTTTAATTATTAGATTTTATTTTATTATTAGATGGTAAAAAAGTTTGTGTAGGTAAGAAAGAGACAAACTATTTAAATAAACCAGTGCATTTTTCATACATTTCATACAAAATGTATTTGTGAATGTTGTTTGTATGTTTTTAAATACATTTAGCACGTTTTACTGGAAAAACTATGAGAGATAGAGGAAAATGTTATATGGGTTAACTTTTAGAGCTCATCGTAGCGCATCGAAAGAGACACAAAAAAAATAACAAAAGTTTTTGAAAAATTTCGAGTTTTGTAAAAAAAAAAAAAACAAAATTTCTGATTTTGACGAGCTGTATCTCGAAAACTGTGGCCTATATCAAATTAATTTTAGAGCCAAAAATAAAGAGCAATCAATCGCCTGTAAAACAAGCTCTTAAAGGTAACTCTATGTTGTATTGTTCTGAAATTATAAGCATTTATTTATATGCAGGAAAAGTCCGGTACCCTTTTTATCCACAGGCTGTAGCTCGAAAGCGAATATTTCTGCGTGTATGAAAATAATGAGGTAAGGACCTACTGCTTAACTCTTTTAGATAAGGGAATGTTTTATATACAAATATTGATAAGTGATTGCAATAGTGTGATATAAACCCATAGTCGAATTACTTATAAAGTAGACACGCAAAGTTTTAAATGACAATTGGAAATGCCTTAACCAAAGCAGAACAAATTGAGCTTTTTCCTTTAAATGTTTACTTTGAAAGGATTTTTGATTGCAGTTTTCGTTTGTATACTAGTCAATTAGAACAGAAAAACAGGATAAAAAATAAAAAATAATAAGTTTTTTTTCATTACGTGCAAATAATTAAAAAAAAAGTGATATTTAATCTTTTATTAAGAGACTAAAAAGAGTTTCTTATTAGCTTATTATTTCTACAATAATAATTTTCTTTTTTTTTTTCAAATGTTAGTTATAAAAAGTTGGGTTTTGAAAAATCGATTATATTTTTACTTTGAAAAGTCATATGCCAAAAAAAAATAAAAAGAGAAAACCATAGTTTTGTAACAAAGTTTTTATAGTTCAGTTCTTAGTTATAGTTCAATTTTTATATTTCAATTTGTTCTTTAATAATAAATTGGTTGTTTATCAAATGCTTAGAACTTACATAAACAGGAACAAAGGTAAATATTTACTTTAACTAAATTTCATAATTTATATTCACACATTTTTGTATAACAACAATGTTATTATGTCACATTATTCTTTATAAGTTAAATATTAGAGATATTTAAATAAGTAGCTATGAATATGCATATTATATCTACATTTTTATAGTTTAACTTTTGGCCTTAATATTTCGTATCAATATTAAGTATTGATGCATTTGCAGAAGATTGGATAAAGCTTTTAATATTTGTGATACGAACAATTAGAGCGCCAAGGAAGAATAATTTTTTTCTATTCAAACTCTAAATGAAAGATTTGATATTTTATGCGAATACACATAATAACATCTGACCTGAAGAGTATAACTGTAGCTTTTTTTTCTTTTTCTGAAATCATAAAAGTTCTTGGAAGGTACTCATTTTCATGTACATATATATATCTATATAGTCAAATCAAATATAGAAAAAGATATTTTTAGGCAAAATATTTTGAAATTTAATTGAATGAATGAAATTTTGTGAATGAATTTATAAAGCGTGTAAGGTATCGTAAAAGTTTAGGAAGGTATTTACTTACCACTTTAAAACGCCGTTTAAGGTTTTTGAAGCCTGTGTTTATACATTTTTAAATAAAACAAATTCGGAAAAATTTCCATAAAAATAGTAGTGGATGTACATATCTATGTATACATAGGTACGTATTTGTAATGGGTACTTTACGTATATAACGGAAGAGGAAATTTTACTCAAATAATCAGTTGTGTACATGCTATCTAATAACTTTTTAAAGAATTTCAATGCATACGAGCTATGCAAGATAACTGAATTTTGTTTTTTAACTTTTGTCTGATTCTAAATAATATGTATAACATAACATATTTTAGAGGCGAGCAACTACACATCTACTTACTACCTTAAGTACTTTCTTTAATCCTTTTTAATTTTTATGACTTTTAATTAGTTTTTTTTTTGTAATATTAGCTTATTTTATATTATTTGTATTGTTTATATTATTAGCAATAGAAATGCAAACATACATACTAACATGTACATATGTATTATATAAAAATATAGTGTTACAGTGGTCACAAAATATATCCTCCTGCATATATCCTCCTACGCTATTAATATTCAAAAGAAATTTCAAATGTAAATCAGGCTCAACATATTATAAGTTTGTGTAGGTAAGTACCGACCTGTCTACGTAATATTTAGTATTATTAATAACTTATGTGCCTAAAAAATATCAAACTATGTTGTTTCTATAACTGGTTATTAAATTCTAGGTTTTGCCAGAATTTTTTTATTAAGAAATAATAGTGTCAAAATTTCAATGACTAAATAGTGTCATATACCTATACTATAATAAAAATGCAGTCGTCAAAACCATAGTTCTTAAAATAGCACATTCCCCTTTGCCATTTCAGTATATAGTATATAAACGTAAAGTGTTAGTTGTGGGTACATTAAAAAATGTAAGTATTACTGATATTTTTTTTAATGTGTTTTTATACAAAAATTTATAACAGGAGAAGCACAACTCTAGAACAATACGAACATTTAGTTAAACAAAAATGAAAGATAACGCTGATATAGCAAAAGGTGTGAGCTGAAAATCTCTCACAGAAATCATTAAATATCGGGATAACATCTCAATAGAGCTAAATAGTTTATTAGCATTAGAAAAACCTATTAAAAAATGGAGAAAGGTAGATTAACAGTTTTTATTTTTAAACAAATAATAGCTTAACCATATATATGTCAACTTAATTATTCAATTATTTCAGGGCAGATTGCAAATCATTTATAAAGAAGAAGTTGCGCAGATTGTTGCCGCAGGTAGAAATAATGTCATTGAGCGAACGGTTATACGCGAGGTAATATGTCTACCGTCAGTTAAGTGTGCTTCTTTCGCTTTCTGAAATGGAAGAGCTAATAGAGAAACAGTCATTAACAATACATAATCAACATCAAAAAAGAAATGAAAAGAACGTTTTTCCAAAAACTGAGGTTGAAAAAACAAATATTGGAAATTTATATATAGTACCCACATAAAAAGATCTATTTTAAAAAAATTAAAAAATACACATGTATGCACATATGATATGAACATTAAATATCGCAAATGTTACAAGGTAATTAAAATATAATATCTTAAATTAATGTTTTTTTTAATATGTATGGATTTTGTAATTATATATCAAGAAATAAAATATTTTACCGAAGAAACCCGTTTTTTTAAAACAATTGAAGAATTTATTTTTACTTTCGTACTTTTCCAAAAAAATTTGTTAGTTTCACTCTGTCCATCGTTCGTCCGTGGACATGTTTACAAAACTTCTACACTCTTTAAATTGGAAAGCTGTAATTTCATATAAAGATAGATCTTTATTGGAAACTTATTTCCATAGAAGAAAATTTTTACCTATCTCCATATATTACTGAAACTGCAAGCTTTTCTAAATTTCTATAATTAATAATAATAATAAATTCTTTATTTTCATCAAATTTAGAACTACATGAAATAATAAGTTCCAACAAAACTAAATAAAACAAAATTCAGAATAACAAATTCAATATTTTTAAATAAATTAAAAACATAAAATATATGAATTTAAAAAGAATACAAAATGCAAATTTTTATTAAAACTGCAGGTTTTATACTTTAAAAGCATAACACTTAATTTTAAAGTAATAACCCAATAGCAAAGAAGTATTTATTCAATTTTTACAATCTAGTTTCAATTTGTACACTCTAGTATACTGCTTAATTCTCTTAACTAAGGGAATTTTTTGTATACAAATATTGGTGAGTGATTGCATTAGTGTGATGTAAACCGAGAGTCGAACAAATTATTAGTAGATATACTTTGATTAAAAATTTGAAAATTTTTTTTCAAAAATATTTTAAGAACTTAATCACTGCTCTGGTAAGTAAAACGCCGCATTAAAAAAATTTTCCGAACTGCTTCAATCGGAAATTATTTTTTAGTTTGAAGAGGTCCTTTGAAGAGGTCTATTGAAGAGATCCTTTTTGTTTGCTGAATTTTGAAGATATGAATGATATGATTTTAATTGATATGAATTATTAAAGGCTGTTAATCGATCCGTATTAGTTTCTTAACCGAAATCTCTACTTGAAATCTTAAAAGTATTTTTTTTGCATACTTATAGCTGATCTTTAATAATTAAAAATTTCACTTTTGCGGATTTATTGGTTAAATGATATTAGTTATATGCATATGCAAAAAAATATGTATAATTAAAACATGATACAGATTTACAGTTTAAATTTGTCGATACAGATATTTTGTATTAATTTCAAGTTAGCGCTGATTATTTAGAACACCCAATATTTTCTTCAATATGCATAAAGACCTTTCAGTAAAATTTTTCTAATAAAAGGAAAGTAATTTTTAAGGTTGGTGAATTTACCTTACGAAAACTTTTCAATTTAAAATTTATTTTGATTTTTTTTTTGTTATTTAACTCAGTACCCTTTTAAATTGCAAGGAAGAAGGTCTGTATCGATTTAATTTCTATAAATTGGTCAAAAAAGTTTTCATACACCAAATGATTTTAACCAAGTATATTTGTAGTTTTCGATCTTAAACCGTTAAAGGCATCCAATTTATTTTTTGTATTTTATTTTTATAGCTATTATTTTTACTTAGTTATAACAAAAAATAATTTAAAGTTTAATTCAACAAAAAAAAAAATAAAACAGAACAAAAAATTAAGAAAAAGTAACATCTAAAAAATATTCATACAGCAACATTAGTATTTACGTTATTGCAAAAAGAAGTTCATAAACAATTGTTTTTAATATTTTGTTGAGTTGCTTTTGCTGCTTTTACAGCATTCAAACGAGTTTTTATACTATCAATTAATTTGGAAGTTTCTTGGGTGTTATATTTGTCTTGAGGCTTTCTAATACGGCGTTCCAATAAGTACTACACAAATTTTCTATCAAGTTTCGCATAATATTCAGGGTTGTTATCTTGTTGAAACATGAATGATCTTACATTAAGATCCAGTCTTTTGGGCTTTAAATTATTTCTTAAAATATCCAAACATCCTGAAAATTTTGGCTCTTTTTTCACCATGTTTACAGTAATATTTTTGGTCGACCACTTCGTGGCTAATAGTTACTGTTCCGTTTTCTTTGTAATTTTTTATTACAAATTGGACCGTGGCATAACTTATATCCACACTGGCTTCAATCTCTCGAAAAGATTTTTTCTCCCAATGTGACTTTACAATTAAATTACGCATGTCTGTTTTCTTTGCCTTTGCCTATACTTTTTTAAGTACTTACAGTACTGAAACATACACTAGCAACACAATAAAAGTATGTTTTTTTTTAAGAAGGGTATAATCGAAAAGTAATCGATGCAGCATCGATGCGTAATCATGTAAAAATCATGAACGAAAATACATTAATACGGTAATACTTTAAATATTTGGTGTCCAAAAATGCCAAAAATACGCATCGTATGCGCATCATATTAAATCAACTGTGCATCAATTTTTTTTGTTATTTTGTATTGATGCAAAGTCTTTTAAATGGAATCTGAAAAGTAAAAACGTATTATTTTAACTCAATAACTAATAAAGTTAATTATTTTGTTATGCACAGTATTAATATTTTTAAATTTTCCATTATAATAAAATTTCCAAAACTTAATTGAAATTAAAAAAATTTTTTTAATAGATTTTCTGTTGTAAATAATTTTAATACTTTTACACAAAATCTTTTATAAAAATAAGGCCAAAAAACATAAGATTTAGAAAGTGTCCAAAAATGTCAAAATTATATTGCATCAGCAAGGTATTCGCCTCACACCAGTATAGCTTTAGCAACCTTTTTTTGCATGGACGCTGTATTGATGCACATATTTGATTACTTTCCGATTATATCCCAACTATAAATCCTCTGATTACCATGACAGTATGAAAACTTTTTTGATCAAAAATTATACTTAAAAATCTGTTTAATGCCTTATTTGGATTTCCCTTTTTGTACAAACATTTTTTTAATTTGACAAACTTTTTTGTTAACATCCGAAAGAAACGATTGCTTATATTTAATTTTAAAAATTCTCTCAAAAAATACATTTTTTGTTGCTTGAAAGTAAAATATTCAAATTGTATGAAAACTCTTTCGACCGACATATGTATGTTTAACAAAATTTTACTTTAAATGAAAACTTTCCTTTTTGGCTATTTTTTCTTGTACGTTAAATATTAAAATGAAACTCAAAAATTTATTTAAAATATATAAAATTCTTTGTAAATATTTTCAGATGCAAATAAAATTCTATACAAATTTATTATTTGTCAAAACAAAACAATTGACAAAGTCTGCTGAATATGTCATTTACTCTTGTAAGTACGTATTGTAAGTGGCCCATACTAAACTCGCATTGTACATATTTGCCCATATCCCACAAAAGTTTGCTGACGGTTGGTCTACAATATTTTAGTGTTGAACAATTTCTGAAATTTGTGCGTCTGCGGTACCTTCTGAAATTTGTGCGTCAGCGGGGATGAAACATCTGTCATACATACTGTAACTATAGTTTTGATCCCTATGTGTACACTGATATGTGTATATTGAAAACATGAGATGAAACCTTTGCTGTGTGTCGAATTTATTAACCCGACGTATGTAAGTATACGTAGTGTATTGAAGGGTTACCTTATTAAAAAAAAAACATAAAAAGTAACATAAAATGCGCTATTCTTGCGAGGGTTTTATACCAATATTTGCGATACTGAAATAAAAACACTTTTTCTAAATGTAACAAATTTAAATAAAAAAAGAGCAAAAATAGAGTTGACCCTGTCAACTCTGTGATACCCATACGAATTTGTTATCCTGTGTACGAATAAATATGCCAGAAGAAGCCAAACAATTTCGACGACCTTCATCAAATATATTGGGCCTACTAATATATTTACTTACCCTCATTTCTTAGTGTTGCAAACGGTAAGGCAAATTTGTTAAGGTATCGAACATACGTTCGTACGGGTATAAAAATTCTAAAAAATGAAAGATTTAAAAATAGTAAGAAAAGTTTGAACTTTTTTTATGTTAAGTTTATATTGCTCTTTACATTAAAAATATAGATAGTACTTTTGATAGATGATTTCAGAATTTTTCTTTCCAGTTTACATATTTTTAAGTTTTACTATTTTAATCAATTTTAAGTAATCTTAATTTGTAAAATGATTAAAACTACAAATTCATTAATCAGTGTGGAGTCTCTTCATATTTGAATTTGTGTTAGTGATGCATTATCCCATGATGACTTGACGAATGTTTCTACTAAGCGGATTTTGTTTTTAGAAGAATTTTGAAAAATAAAACACTGATATGAAGATTACGTATTTAAAAAATCTAACATTGAATTTACTTATACACAATACGTAGAATATTCTATAAAATAATAGTATAATATAAAAATAGTATAATTTCTTTGTACCAATTTAAATTACAAATTCATTACGTATACACATGTTATTACATTACTATAATGAAACAAAGATAGAAAAAATTTTATGCAGCATATTAACAAAATTTGTTCAGCAGCTGAATTGAGAATTAAAACAATAAAGCATTTCCTATTTTCATGTTGATTTCATATAATTTGTGTATAATGCTTTTCTTAGGGCATGATTCTTCTGTATACTTTTTTTTGTGATCATAATTTAATAATTAGAAGTCCTCTTTTAGGTTTTTTATTTGCTTTAACACCTTTAAGCTTCAATAAATGTTTGAACATATTTTTAGTTTGATAATATTTTAAAATTAGCTTATTTTGCAATTGTTTTTTTAAACTTTGTTTTTGCAACCTAATTTATTGACAATTTTTGAGAACAATTATTCAATCTATACGCTAGTTTCCGATAGCTCAAATACGCTAGACTAAACTTTCTTAACTTAAATCTGTATATATCAACGGTCGATATTTTAAATCTGCTGATGTATTTTTAAACTGTTGAATTGTTATTTTATGTGTTTGTAATATTTTTGTGTTAGTAGTGAAATTTGAACCTATATTGTCTCCTATTTAATTTTTTTACCGACCGTATTGCATATAATAAAGAAGGTTATATGATAGCGCCGAGTTTCGGATGTCGAGTTTTCGCTGGGAACGCACTTCTGTCGCTCTATGTGTAGACGCATGTATCTCAAGTTCTGCTAAACCGATTTTGATGAAATTTTATTTGTATACTTTGGCACGGACGGATCAACTTTTCAAGGGATGAGACCTCAGGAACTGGACCTTTTTGAAGGCCGATTTTACTTTTTCGTATATAAAGCGAAATTATCAACCGATTTTTTTGCAATTTATTATTTAAACTCGTCATGTTAAAACAATAAATCTATAAATTTCTTGGAAAAATCAGGACTGGGAAGCAGAACTGGTTCCTATTTTACATTTTTTGACATATCTACGGAATGGATTTGTGGAATTTTTTGCAATTTGATACTTGAGTTCTGGTTATTACAGAAGATAACTGATGAGTTATGCTAACTTCCTTATGTTCGGTTATATGTTGTTTACATCAGATTGTTTTTGCTTGTTTAAGAATAGTGAACGTAAAAGTCATTCAATAAGACAAATCAATTTTTTTGGGAAATCTTTAAAAATTTTGTAGAAAAAGTTTTATAAGTAAAACTTGAAATTTTTTAACTATCTGAATAGAAAATTGTAAAATTAAACTATGCAGGTTACCGTCAAAAAGTTCATGAAGTGTTTTACAAGATTTATTCAATGACTTTTTTAAAAACCGTTCCTGCATCAGAAAAATATCTTATGAAAGATACAGAATTTTAGAAAGGGTCGCATTACGATCTTGTGGAAAATTAAAAAAAATCCAGTTTAACCTACAAATGGTTTATGACCCCTGCACAATAAAGGTTCACATTTCGTCAGCCTATCAATTGCTGTGATCTAGAATTGGATGGGAATAAAACTTCTTATATTATTTACAAGTAGCATGCACATAATTTAATAAGCGTTTAACGTGAAATTTACATATTTTTTTTTCAGATAATTGCAGTTACAATAATAGAATTTGAAACAAAACAATATTTATAGCAGCAACAACAACGATAATAATTAACAAAAGTTTATAAAAAAATATTCGAAAGCAGAATACAGAATCTTACATAATATAACATAACTATAACATTATCAAAATAGTAAGGCTACATATATTTTCGAGAGGACTTTAAAATGTCTTCAATTTCAGCTCAAGGTGTAGTAGAACGAGCTTCGGCGGAGTTGTCTAAACGAATAAATGGTTTAGGTTTACGCAAACATCATCATGGGGGTAAAACATCTGTAATGGAACGTGTTACAAATGCTCTTTGTGGCAGTAGTGCAAGCGCTAACAATAATAGCAATCAATTTAGTGAAGGCCAATTAAGCGCAAATTCTGAAAAGCATCAGCGTGTACCTGTCAGTTCAGCGCAACAAAATAGTCAAAAGCATTCTACAACGATATCATTACAAACATCCCATTGTTCTGTAGGACCGACGCAACCTGTAAACTCTGGAGTTTTGCAAAGTAATATTCACGAACCCAATACGGTAATGTTGGATTCAATTAGTCAAAATAAAAATGCTTCTAGTACAAATGTATTAATTATCAATAAGAGTATAAGTTCTGCAACAAAAATGAAGAAAGGTTATCCTTTAGTAATTCAAAGCAATACTCTGTCAAATCAGCATCAGATTTTACAAGCACAACCACAAATTACAACTTTTGAACAACTGCTTTTAGATGAAAGATTCCTCAATAAATTTTTTCAATATTTTGTTTCCTATGACTGCCGTATTTTGGCTCAAGTTTGCACAAAATGGAGGGATACACTTTATAGAAGTCCCAGATATTGGTCTGGACTGTTACCTATCTTACAATGCAGAGAATTGAAACAAATGAATGGACAAGATCGTGTAAAATTATATAGTTCACTGATACGTCGCGGTTTTCATTCGATAGGTCTTGTAGGAGCTTTTGACGAAGATGTTCTCGATATCGCACATTCATTTCCTTTGGCGTCCAAACAAATTCATTCCTTAAGTTTAAGATGTTCATCAGTCAGCGATCGTGGTTTGGAAACTTTGCTAGATCACTTGCAAGTAAGAATTATTTCAATTGTTTTTTGCAAAAAGTTTCACAATTTTCATTTAATTTAAATTAAAAATATATTTTTTTAATGTATGGAGTATTGAAATTATACCTTTTGTCTCTAAATCTAAAGGTGATACGAAAATTGGGATATACAAGCTCCTTCACAAACAGATTTTTTTTTTAATTTCGAAAACAAGATTCTTAAAAGCGGGTTTGTTCTATTCTAAAAACAAAGCAACAAAAATTTGCATTTGACATTTTCTGATTTTTCTTTATTTCATACGAAATGAAGAAAACTGCATCGGAAAATTCCTTAAATTTTATGCAGTAGTTTACTAGCAATTGCTCATATTGTATTTGTTAATAATTGTTTGAATCGACACATATAAAAAGGTCTAGGTTGCATAGATCACTGTTCCTTCATTATACAATGATTGCATATGCGTTATGCCATATTATGAAATACATATCATAAAGAGAAGAGCATTTTTGTAAGTTCGATTTTTACATTTAACGTACTTAGGAGTTTTTCAATAAGAAAATACACCAGTTTTTCAATTTAATTGCATTCTTCAAAGCCCTTTAAAGGTTCATGTAATTTTTTTGAACACCGTTAATATATAAAACTACCGATAAATATATGGTCGACATCTTTTTCATGAAATATTTTTTCCAATTTTTAAAAATTTTTAAACATAAAACCTGAATACTAATGAACATTATAACGATCATAAAATAATCTTTCTCTCAGCTTTTTTTGTTCAACAATCAAATATCTAACGAATAACAAAAGCTATTGTAGATTGAACCAAACTGAACGAAAATGCATTGTACATACATTGAAATATCTAGCAAAAAGCATAGATAACATATACATATTATAATAACAATCTATGCATAAAGACAAATTTTAAGTTTTTATTTTGAAAACATAAATTTTAACTATCAAAATGAGCCTAATGGACTTTTGTTTTTGATTTTCAGTCGCTATTTGAATTAGAATTGGCTGGGTGTAATGAAATTACTGAAGCTGGACTATGGGCCTGTTTGACACCCCGAATAGTTTCACTTTCTTTGGCAGATTGTATTAATATAGCTGACGAAGCGGTTGGGGCTGTGGCTCAACTACTTCCATCCCTTTACGAGTTTTCATTACAGGTATAAAATGCATTTACAGAAAAATATAAAAAATTTTATTATGTATATATACAAACAACAAAAAGTACCTATGACGTAGCGGTACTTTTTCCAACGTCTATATTTAATGATTTTATTAAAGTTCAATTTGTCCGAAAAATTTTAAAAATATTTTTTATTTTAATTTTCAATCTTCACATTTAAAATAGTTTAAATTAAAAAAATATTAAAGAGAAAAACAACATTCGACTAGCATTTTAGAAGTTATCAGATATTCACAAAATTCCATTCAATTATGTCTATTACAAGAAGTTTAATTGTGTGTGTAAGAGAAGAATTTTTCGTACATTTGGAATTTGAAGTTTGATAACAAATTAAATATAAACAGCGAAAAGAAGTTTAGTTAATAACTTTTTTTCGCAAATTTTTAATTCAAAGTAAAATTAGTACTTATACGAATTTTTATATTTATTAAAACCATTACGCTTTATTTTTTAGGCTTATCATGTCACAGACGCTGCACTTGGGTATTTTTCTCCAAAGCAAAGCCATAGTCTTAGTATTTTACGTTTGCAATCATGTTGGGAACTAACAAACCATGGCGTTGTTAATATAGGTAAGGCATAATATTAATAATTTTTTTTTAAAACCGAAATTAATGGACATTAATAATCAATACAATTATGTATACCACATAATTAATATTCATAACAAATGAAAAGTGTGACATAAAAAGTGACACATAAAAAATTATAAAAAATTGTTCTTAATAAAAATTATTTACATTTACAGTTATAATTAAGGTTAAAACTATTGGCGAAAGTCGTGATAAAAAAGATTTTATTTGTTAAATATGGATTTGTAACATATATGTATATGTATGTATATATGTATGTATTTATATCTGTATTTTAAAACTTATTCAACTTGGACACAAAAAGTAGCTTCCTAAAAATTTAAATACATACCTAATTATTAATATAATTATTTCATATGCAGAATTAAAGAGACAAAATTTTTAACTTTGCATTCTACTTTAGATGATCAGTTTCCATACCCTTTTAATTAACTCAAAAGTTTCTGCGTTTGCTTGTAGAATTGTATCAAATTTCATGTAATTAAATTTGTATTATGAATCCTAAAACCAAGTACAAATTTTTTCTTGACCTAGTGTAGAATTTGATATTCAGGACTGTTACAAAGATTATTTCACAATTTCATCAAATTTAACACATCTGATATACTCGTATTCCTAGTTATATTGCTCATATACGAATGATTTTTTGGTTTTTGTGTTAATAAAATTTTGTAATCAACACTTACGATAAAATAAACTATTAATGCTTTTATTTTTAGTTTTGATGCTTACTTATTGGTTCATTTTTTGTGATCGAAAAAACGAGTAAATATTTGAACACCCATTAATATCGGTCACAAAAAGAAACAATAACACAGAGGATAAACAAATGTTCTACATTTATGAACTAAACTTTTAAATTTATACTTTTCTTAAATATAAAATAATTAATTTTTTTTACAGTACCGCGCAAAACACTTAGATGTTTATTTCATAAAATTAAATTATAAACTAAAAATGCCTTTTGAAAAAAGAAATAAAATAATATTGTGCTATTTGCCTGTATTATTATTATAATAAAAATCATAGAAAATAGTTTTACATTACTACGACCAAAATCAAAAGTTTTGTAAGGTATCATATAATTCTTTTTTCGATTATACTGTTTGAAGATATGAAATAGAATGAAGTACATGTCTTTAATTTTATTTTCATGTTATTTAAACAGCTTTCACTTTAAATAAATTTATCGCTTTTTATTTTAATTTAATATTTCAGTTAAATATAGGCATTAAAAATTTTTACCTATTTCAAGTTCGACATCATTAAGAGTATAAATTAGTTAAATATTTACTCAATAAAAAAAACTGATTCAACATCTCTCACAGACAATCGCTTCGCAACCAGGCCTTATTTCAGCATTACAAAGAATTTGTAAATGGTCCTTAAACGAAGTACAAGTTTCAACCAAATAGTTTTAGTCCTAGTAAAGAACTAAATCTAAGATTTTTTCGTGAAATTATTGTTTCATAGTTGTTATATCGTAATTACAATGTTTATGTCACAGTTGTAATTCATTTTGCAATGTTTATATTTATGTACGTATATCAATATATATATAGTGTAAATAATTTATATAGTTTGGGAGTTTTTTATATATAATTAAAAAGTTGTTTCAGAATAACATTTTGTTATTTTGATTTTTTACCCAATAATTGTAATAACAAAGATTTTCTTAGATATAATCTTGTAAAAATCCGTGTGATAAGTAAGTCTAATGAGCATGTAATATGTTCTGCTGTATGAACTGAAAATAAAAATTCTCGCGGGTATCACTGTAATAAACCATTCAACTTTTAATTTAGTCGCTTTTTATTTACATATGCATAATATACAGACGTATATTCCACCTACTTTCTTTATTGTATTGATTAATAATTATTATATTATAATAAAAATCATAATTCCTGGTATCAGCTTTTGTATAAAAGCTTGGTTTGCAAATGGAATCAGATTTCGTGTTATTCACAACGAATCCATACAATATTTGTGGTATTCTAAGTAAAAAACAAACGGGTTGATTACGAATTATTATCTCTTTTGTCTACGGTTTCTTCCTCTTTATATGAGCATCAAAATACATTTTTAATTTTCCAATGTACATTATAACTACATAAACACACATTCAACTATTAACACGTGCTTACAAGTATCAAAAAAATCGAATAGTATCTTTATTTCTATTAGATTAAATTTACTTATATTGAATTGAAATTACTTTGAGACTTAAAAGCTATATTTTTTGTAGTACTGACATAGCGAAATCCATATTACAAAATTATTTCCCTCATTGCCATGAGCAATTACTAGAAAGAAGTAAATAATTTATGGAACAGCTTTAGTTGAAATAATACTTTTTATCGCAACATTAAAGGGAAAGAAAATAAATTTATGTCGAAGTACATAGTAATAAAAGCTTGAATGTAAATTTAAATTGAAACATATAAATGAAAAATAGCCAATTAAGATCAAAATTAAATAAAAAACATTTGCCAAAGTTTAACTGACAAAAACACAATACTTAACCCTAAGAGAAATTTCGTAAGGTGGAAGAAACGGCAAACTTAAAAGCATTCTTATGGAAGCAATAGGGGACCTTTTTTAACATTACATCATAAATTTCCTACTTAATTCAGAATAATGGGAATAAGGATAAAAAATTCAAAAATTAACTCAACCAAAATTGCAGCTATAATTTTAAGTTAGCCTTTGAATTTCCGATATGTTTTTCAGAAAACTTCAAGTATTATTTTTGCCACTTATACATTTTATGTTTCAGTAAATTTGTCTTTACAGAACATTCGAAATGGAAAAAACCAAAGCTTTGCACCGTTGCATAAAATGAGGAAAAGAATTTTTCATCGTCAATTGAATTCATTGAGCTCATTAAATAAAAAATAAGGGTGAGTCAAACCAATGGTTTGTAATAACAATTAAAAACGTTTCAGTCGGTATAAACCGATTGAATTATACCCTGCACCTTTCGTTATTGTATAGCAATTACTCGAACCTGTGAAATCATTCTATAGAAACTTCAGGGATATGTGTGACCTATAATTGGACATTCGACTGCCAAGTTTCATGAATCTGACTTTCTTATTTTTCCAAATATTAAGAATAAGCTTTTAGACTTGTATGGGAGCTACTCGAACCAAAAAGCAATTCCACCAAAACTTCAGAAATATATCTGACCTGTAACTCGACACACAACTGCCAAGTTTCATGAATCTGACTTTATTATTTTTCCAAATATTTAAAATTAGCTTCTGGAGTTGTATGGCAGGTACCCGAACCTGTCAAGGAATTCCTCTAAAACTTCAGAAATATATTTGACCTATAATTGTACACATGACTGTCAAGTTTCACGAATCTGACTTTATTATTTTTCCGAATATAAAAAATTTGCTGTTGGAATTGTATGGCAGCCACCCGAACCGGTACAGCTATCCCACTATAATTTTTAAAGCATGTGTAGAATATAATTGGACACTTTTAGTGATATAATATTTTAACAAATTTTAGACACTAATAAATACTTTATTTTATTAGAAGAAAACTTTTCCCACATCCACCCTTTCTTAAGTTATTGCGTTTTGAAATTTATAAAATTTGAGCTTTTGGCACCTTAAATTTCCACAACTGCAGGCTTTTTCAAATTTCTATAAATGCTGAAAGCTAACTGTAAATGCAACGCCGTTAAAATATATAATTATTTTTCTTAACTCATGCAAGCAACCTTTAAAATCGAGCATTAAGTTAACCCCTCTTTAAATTTATTTTTCATTTGCTTTATTTTAAAGACTGGATAAATCGTTCATCCTAAATATATGCAGTCCTAAAAGTAGATTTGTATATGAACGAAAATAATTCTAATAGTGTAGTACGTATACATAGATTGTTTTTAAAAGCAGTATTTTCACTTATTGAAGGGAAAAATGTTACAATACAATCCATTGGTTTGACAATATAATCCAACTTTATTTCTTTTAGGCACAAAATAAACATAAAAACAATAAAACAATATGTAAAAAAATAAAAAAAAAATTGAAAATTTACAATTTTAAGGATTTTAAAAAATATTTAAATATTTAAATAATTTTCATCAACATCATTTAAAAATGATGTTGATGAATTTGATGCTAAAGTTTTGATTATTTTGTCTATCATTTATTTCCATTTCAAATTTTGAAAATTAACGCTTATAGTTCCGTGTACCCGTTTGCAAAACTTTTACACCCTTGGAGAAAGAAAGTTGAAATTTCATAATATATACCTAAATGTATTTTTACTGAAAACTTACTTCCGTAGAAAAAAAGTTTTAGCTGGAGAGGTTATAACCTCTCCAAGAGCCATTTTAAAAAAACCTTAAACATTCAAATGCAAAAAAGTTGCGGCTTGAACTTTTTACATCGGCACAGCATAACTGAATATTAAAGAGCAATGTCTGATAAAATTAACCGTTACTAAAGCCCGTTCCTTTTCAAGTTTTTGATATCAGTTTTGTTATATAACATAGGTTGTAAGAGTCTGAAACTTTTCTAGCTTTTAAATAAAAATAAAAGAAATTTTCCAACTCCACTCGCTCGCAAGTTTTCGCTTCTGCAAATTTGTAAAAGTCGAAGTTTTGGCAGCATATATTTCCGAAACTGCAGAGTTTTCAAAAGCTAATCACAAATGACGGAACCCTTGAATTTGAGCGTTATGTTACCGCCTCTATTTTTTTAAAAGCAGCGTGCTAAAAATTGCTGGTTTTCAAACCATTTAGAGTTTGAATTAACTTTATTAATTTTGTTAGCTACTTTTAACAAAATTTTTTTTCGATTTGTAAATAATCAATTTGTTCACAAAAAACAAATATCTATGTGTGAGTATCTACACATACTATGACAGTACTTTGAATAATAAAAAAAAAACATATCGTTTTATCGTTTTTAAAAAAAAAAGTTGAAAATCAAATCATATGAACTGAATAATATAAT